CATCATAGTGGTTGTATTATTCCTTATTTCTATTTTGTAAATTCGGTAGAAATTAGTTCAGTAATCACGCAATCTTATAGTCTCATTAACTGTGCCTTGATAATGTGGTCTAAGTATAGATGTTGAAGTGATGTAAGCAGTGCAAGTGGAATAATATAGCTAATATGACAGGTTTTCACACCAAGACGAAGAGATGTCGCGTGCGTGCCGTGTCAGAGCAAGCGTTCCTGATTTGCTAGCGGATGTTTGGAATGCATTGACATATGGGTTCATGAAGCTACTAATCATCTTCTGGCTTCCATTAAGCTCGACGAGTGAGCAAGACGATCTAATCAACGTATGCTAATAGCAAAGCAATTCTGTTAGAGAGCCGAACACTGACATTATAGACATGATTCCGCCTCGTGAAAATCACTTGTAATGGATAATACCTTCGAAAGCAGGAAGGTTCTATTAAACTTGTGATGCAATGATTATTTGCAAACCGTTTCTGCCATATTCTAATTGTAGGTATCTTATCAATTCATGCAATAGATTAACTTTTAGGTGGGAATCTGAGCAAAGATGTCGAACTTCCTCTTTGCTTGAGAACTCTGCTGAAGAAGGAACTCATACCCAAAATCAGCTGTTTGTTGATATTTCGAGGAACGCTTTTGCCACCCCAGCATTTGTTCTAAGTTGCATAGCGTGGGAATATTTTTATCATGATCTCATTTTGTTCAAGCTATAAAATCCTGACTGCTACAGAGTGCATTACCTGGCAAGAAACAGATTTTGGATGGCAATTGGCAGACATCGATCCTGTATAAAAGGATACCGCCGTCTAGGAAAACATTGCTCAAGCCATGATTGCTCCATTGGATTCCACTAGATGCAACAACGGAACCCCACATCGCGACCCCACAACCTCCACTAACATTTTTTTTCAAATAATGTTTCCATCTACATGTTAAGAGTAGAATGTCTGTCAAATCAAGTTATTTCAATGTTTGATTTTTAAATCGTGTTCCCGCTACGGGTAATAGCTATTTACTCATTACGAAACCTCACGTCTGAAAACCTTGTCTCGTGAACTTTAAAGTCCTCTATTTGTGAAGCTTTTTTTCAATCACATATGAGATGAGAATGAGATGACTACAAAGTATTCCACTACTTCAAGACTTTTGCCGACCACTTCCGTACTCCTCTATGTCGAGTATGTTTTGCCTATGGTAGTTGCCCACACTAAGTTCAATGATCTGTGGAAAATCCTGTGCTTGTTTGTACTATCAATTTGGTGGATTTCACTTTATCACAACTACGAGGTCACCTCCGACCTGCGCCTATGACGTGATTTTCGGTGTACAGAATGCTCCTTAAGGCATAATTAACGTTATGAGTTAGTAAGTATGATTCTAAGTAATTCCAGATTTTGTACCACACTAATCCTCACCGTACTTTACTTTCACCACCATTGCTCCTTCTCTGCCTCCTTCCGGTGTGAATTCATCAGGCATCGGTGCTTCACCGAGCTCCCCTGTGCTTTCATATCGGACTCTGTCTAGTCGAAAAACACACAGAACGGTAGACTTTTCATTCAAGACAATCGTAGAGAATAATGAGAAATTCAGACATCTTGGTAGCACATTGAATAATATGCTTATCTGTTTTACGGAATTAACCAGATTTTTAGAATGGATTCAAACAATGAAGTAACTGTGGAGACCATGAGTCTCTAATAGAACATTATATGTCGGATAAACTATTGTGCCGATAGGAAAAAAACACCAAAAAACCGCTGTGCGAATAAACAACAAAGTACAAGCGAATGTGCTAATAATTTTTCCACATCGCCCTATTTGGATTCCCACCACGCGTGGGTAAAAACGACATCGGAATCGGATTGTTACGGTGTCGTTTCCCGTCAATTCCACCAAATCGAAGTCACTTTCATTGCTCTACTATGTAGAATTATCTATGGCAACAATAAAACAGAAACGACGAGGAATGGCTCTAAAATAATTGTGGATTTGAAGATAGCTACAATTTCGACTTTGCAAAAGCACGTATTTCATAGGTATGCAGTTTTGTTTGTCCATCATTCCAAATGAAAATGACACGAATACATCGTTCACTGATGAAAGCTTTCTTAAATACTCTTGTTTCGCTTTTTTCTTCGTAATAATATTTGCTCACGGATCTGCCTCATAGGAGGGATCCCGATAGTCGGTTAGTCGCGAAGCTACGTGGCGTGTCCCAGGTGGCGGATAGAGGGCTAATCGCGGACTAAAAGCGACCTTGCTTCCCTGAGACGCAGGTGGATCCAGGAGATGGACTACCTGTTTCTGCTGCGCCGATCTGGCACCTACTTTCTGTATTTACCAGGCGTATTCATGCATGCGTGTGTAGGTGCGTCCTTGCCTATGCGGATTGTACTTTACGAGTCTATTCGGCCAAAAGCCTGCAATCAAGTGACAGGGCAGTATATGGGAAGCGGTTAGGACTCGCCTCCAACAAATAAACTCCATGTCCACTCTGAGACAGCCTAGTAAACCGCCTGTGAGTATACCCAGCCCCCACGTTCAGAGCCCAGGCTATACGTGGGTATCAAAAACTAAAAACATTAAAAAGAAACGAGCCTCATTCCTCTGACCACGAAAGAGCCATCGATCCGGCAGCGTTGGATAGGACGAGTACGGAGAGGCTGCTAAAATCTCAGGGCCAATAAGCTTCCTGAAATAGAAAAAACTATGGTGACGATCTGTGCCTACAATGCACGTACACTTGCATCCCAGTCCTCGATACAAGACTTGCTCATGTAAGCAAGAAGGATGAGGAAGAACGTCATCGGCCGGGCCGAAAGGAGAAGACGCTACTCTTTCAACGCTGTCTATGACATTGGAGAGGAACTGTACCTCGGAACATGTGACGGCAGAGGAGTCGGTAGCGTCGGCGTTCTCGTCGACACAACTTTATCCATGCACATCGATTCATTCGAACAACCTACAACCTGAATCGGACGTTTTCGATTAACAAGATATGGACCAATATCGGCTTTGACATTCTTCGTCGTTTACGCGCCGACATCAAAATATGACGAAAAAAAAGTCGAGGCGTTCTGTATGGATTTGGGGAAATTCTACAGAGAAGACCATACATTCTTCAAGGTCATCATTGGATATTTCAACGCCAAGATTGGACCAAGAAGAACGTCTGAAAAATGTCACATTGGGACCCACGGATCAACATGGAACGAAGACGGTGAGCGGCTATCTGAGTTTACCATGGCGACCAAGAATGGTAACGAACCATGGTAACTCGCAATTCCAGAAGCCCCGCCCTTAACGCTGGACGTAGGAGTCTCCCAATGGAGAGTTCCATAACGAAATAGACCACATCATAGTAAATAGAAGGTTTTGTCTAACCGATGAAGCTGTTGTCCCAAAATTTTACACGGGATCCGACCATGGCCTCCTTCGTGCCAGATTCTATTTCTAGCGAAAAGGAGAAAAAGCCGCTAAATTCAGAAACCGAAGCCCAAAACCACCCACAAACTGGGACTTATTCAATTCACTAGTCGGCTGTTGGGAAGATGCCGTTGTCGATAACATCGACGAAGAATACGATCGGCTCATTCAACATCTTCGCGTTAGCGCTGTGAAAGCTCAGATTTCGAAAGTCAACAACAAACGTCTGACTCCAGAAACACTTGAGCTGATACGCCAGCGTGGAATCGCACGAGCTGCAGGCAACCGCGAACTAACGTCCGAGTTTGCAAAACAATGCAGACAGGCGATCAAAGAAGATCTTAAAGAGAGAAGAGCAGCAGTAATGGCCGAAGCTATAGAGACTGGGAAAACATTCGCAGAACCCATCGAAGGTTCGCCAAATACATGACCAAGATGATTGCACTCCGGGGTCCAGACGAAACAGTTACAGCGTCCAGAAAGACATTGGAGAAAGTCATTCGCGAATACCACTCACATCTTTTCGATAGCCACATCCATCTTCTGTCATATGAAATAAAGGAGGATGGATATGTTGTATCATCGGTTCTCCCTTCCGAAATCCGACATGTCATTTGTTCGGTGAAAAATCGAACAGCGCCAGGTCCGGACAAGATAAGACCAGAACACCTAAAGAACATTCCGCCAGTCCTCGTAAACACACTGGCTCGGCTCTTCACACGTTACCTGTCTGAATGCAAGGTCTCTACTCAGTGGAAGACCAGCAAGACCGTGTTATTGTTCAAGAAGGGTGACCTACACGATATCGGTAACTATTGCCCAGTCTGCATGCTGTCTGTCGTCTATAAACTTTTGACACGCGTCATCCTAAAGAGGATTGACAAAACACTAAACGAAGGACAGTCATGTGAGCAAGCAGGGTTTCGAAAAGGACGGCCTTTGACTTAATTGTGATGGAAGCAGTGGAAGCCCTTGACAGCCAAGCAGTCCCTATTCAGCACATAAAGATTCTTCGTGAGCTGTGCAAAAATTTCGCAACCAAGATATAATCATTCTACAGCGATATTATCTTTTCAATGATGCTAAGATATTTGCAAAAAAAACAAGCGAAACGAGGGACCCGCATGGTGTGATGGTGAACTCGTTACTCCCCGGAAAGGACAATAGCGCGTTCGCTCCCCACCGCAGACACTTGCGTTCCGGAGTTTTGCAAATATCTCAGCATCATTGAAGTTATATTTCGCAATATACCCTGCCATTGAGAAAGAGTAGGCAGTAAATAATGAGCTAAAATTGTAATATTATCAGTGATGTTAAAAGAGTTAGGCAATGCACCACCCTCTAACCAAATTATTTATCGTCTCTCTTGAGAACGGCATGCGAAAATTGGAATGGGATAATATGGAGTAGAAATCGGCGGTCGGCAGTTGTGCCATCATGCTCTGCTGATGACATCGTCCTTATAACACCAAACATTAACCAAGCGAATCTATGCTTGCCAACTTTGATTAAACCTGTGGAAAAATTGGACCTTGACTAAATCTCACAAAAACGATGCTCATGAGGAACGGATTGGTTTCCTATGCCCTATTCGCGCTCAACAGGACGAATATCTCCGAGGGCTCCAGTTATGCCTATCTAGGTCGGGAAATCAACATGTTGACCGACTTAGCTTCAGAGCTAAGCGGAAGGAAAAGAAAGGCTTGGGGAGCTTTCAAGAACATCGAGGATGTAGTGAAGAGGACAAAGAACACCCGACTCCGTTCCCGCCTTTTCGACCCGACGGTACTTCCTGCCGTAACGTACGCGTCAGGAACCTGGTCGTTGCGTAAGCAGGATGAAAGATCACTCAGCGTTATCGAACGCGCATTCGAAAGGACGATGGTAGGAGTATCTCGTTTCACGCAAGTAACCGATGGGATCCGAAGCTCCGACCTGCGTCAACGATCAGAAATGAAAGATGCCGTTCTGTACGCCAAACAGTCGAAGATAAGGTGGACCGGACACGTAATGCGTATGAATGACAACCGATGGACAAGAGCTGTTAGTGACTAAATTTCTCGGGATGTTAAACGTACTTCAGAAAGACCATCGATCCGATGGTCAGAGTTCTTCACGAAGAGCCTAGAAGAAAGACATGATGCTCAATGAGTCCCTAGAGCGAGCATAACCGAGTCCGCTCTAGGGAGCGATCAGAACCCACTGATCTAACCTTGCACACGACAGGGAGAAGTTAAATGTTTACTGGCCCCCGCTCGAGTCACTCGACGATCAACGGGATTACAGGTGATACAAGTAATAATATTTACACCTTTACGTCGTCTACAGTTGGAAAAGCAGCTCCGCACAAAGCAACTATCCAAGCAGCAGCACTTGAGTCATATGGGTGTTTGCAACATTCATCGAAGAATTTTCCTATAATGAAAGAATTTTCTATTGATGACCCCCTGCAAACACTGCAGAGAGACAAACTAAAAACTATATCGTTATGGGCTCCCTCTAACCATAGGCGCAGTGCTTGTAAATGAAAGCAAATCCTGATTATCAATCCTATTCATCGTAGATCGCCACGATGACTGTTCCAGATTTATCGCTCCAGCTTAACCACAAGTGGGACGCAAACGGATGTCACTAAATGTAGACGATCAAACCCACGAAATATATCTTACCTTCCTATTTGTACCATCTTAAGATCTCCTTGCTGTCGTTGTCATCATTCCGTGATGGTTCACATTCTTACGATTATTTATAATTTGGAGCTATTTTATTTCCCACAATCAACATCTTACATTCAATTTTTGCATTCGCATTTTAGTTTCAGGTTTCTTGTTTCCATTTAAGCCCTGGAGACCGTTAAATCAAAAAGCTCAGCTCACAGTTCTTAGTTTGTCAGCTAGCGGTCTACTCTCTAGGTTCGTGGAATTGCTAGTGAACTTTCCTGTGAAGGCAAGCACACTGATTTAATTCACCGCTAGCTCTCAGAAAACAATGTAAGAGCAAATATGTATTTGGGTGCCTCTAAAATTCTACGAGTTGAATAGAATTCAGTATACACCGCTCAGGTATTTCGCTTGCCTTCTTTGCCGTTCTTGTCCACTGATGTTCTAACAGAAATTTACCATAATTTTGTGCTCTCTATTCGTCGAACTTAGATGACTTAATTGTCCACTGTAACGAGAGGATGAACAGTTTCCGAGTTACCGTTTTCTCCTTAGTTCTTAATAGACCAATGTAATGTAGACCGACGATTTGTGATCGCGTTCGCGCGGAATATTTAGGCCAACTTTAGCATAAATTTACATCAGTGAAATATGTCTAAATCCATCTTTTAGCGTTGGAGACGTTTCACAGTGTTGGTGTCGCCTCAGCGAATAAGAAGCGCCTCGCACCAGCATAGTTTTTGTTTCGTTTTATTACTAACACTCTTACTAACAGTTGGAAGCCATTTGAATCCAAATTTCCACATGCTCCCTTTTCCATCACTTCGGCTTTTTCACCTGCATAGCCGAATTACGAAAAACAAATTCGTAGTGATAGCTTATACGCTATTAAAGAAGTTGTGAAGGGAATTATGTAGTGGATCTTTCACCTCTCTCTACTGAACTCTGGAAGTCGGCATCAGCTTGGAGGTGAACGGTCACGCAATGCAATGGAGAAAAGTCAGTGTTTCTTTGAACAGTTTTGCGAGTCCAAACGAAATGGAGCACAGAATAGAAAAATTAGCACATTTTTTGTGAAATTCAGTCTATTGGAATCTATACGTCATAATAATAATATTGAAAAGGCTCGCAGTGGCACTGAAAACTGACTTACAAACTTACCAGTTTTCATGCTCAGCTGTAGGACATTGAAAAGAAGACACGGTTTTTTCTGTAGAACTTTTCTGAGTCCGCAAAGAGTACTTCGACCTCATCTTGAAATAGCTTTATGTTCGGACATGGGCAAAGATAGGTCGCATATTGCGCATTGTTTAGAGGTACCCTGTTGTACACATATCATCGTTGTATCCCACGTTCCACGCTCACCAAGTCTTCTATCTTCCTGGGTTCGTTAAATTGGTACCAGATTTGCCTGCGAGGTTAGTAGCGCTTACATGATATATCGGTAGGCCATCTATGGTCACTTTACATGCCAGATATGCATTCAGTAACCTCTAACGATGTTTGAGTGAAGGCGAATGCATGCCACATTCCGCAGGGAATGATCAACGGTGAGAGACATCTCCTTTAGCTTCTAGAAAACGATGATTTTTAAAGCCTACAATGGTCCACGTCTTTGCAGCTGTAAACAGTATGACTGATGTAATTTATTGAAGGCAATCGATAAAGTTCATAGCCAGCCTTCTGTTGACGAGCATTCCAACGCCGCCCACTCCGATACTACTGCCGTACTGATAAATTGCTGTTGTTTACCTAATTCTGTTAACATGCTCCATCAGGTCCTCAATTAAGGACTCTGATGCTAGCTTTCATGCCTCGTGTCTGCTGTCTTCATTGTAGCCGTTCCTGGTTTAGGATGCATTTGAGGAACCTTTCATTAGAATTGGTTACAAAAATAGAGGTAATGAATAGTTTTAACAAGGAATGCACAGTATCGAACAAGAAAAGACCACTCGCAAACATAATTTGAATAAAGCTGTCTTTACCATTCACCTATACTTTCTTCATGAAATCATGTATCCGGAAAATATCGGACACGGTAAAAAATTTTGTCGACGGGTAGGAAAAGAAACATCGTTGCTAAGAGTTTTAAGGACCGAGATGAATACCGCAAAACCAAAGGCATTCTGTGTCACTAACTTTATCTTCTCCATTTTTCAAGAGTACTAAATTGGTAAGGTGAATTCCATTTTGGCCGAATTTTTTTTCAATCCCTTAGAGAATAGTGCACTGCTGCATATTTTAGTAGATAATACTGATAGTGCTAAAACATTTACAAGTTTTCGCAATACTGAAATACTCTCGCTTGCAGTAGTAGTACTATTTCATCGCGTAAAAGCAACATGAAGTTCGCAACAGCAGTTTTCAGCTTCCTTTCCGGTAATCCTTCGTGTACAAAGACCAGCAGTGATGGCAGCGATCATAGACACTATTCGGAACAAGCACCATCAATAAAGTGCGATACAAGTTTTT